CCCCCAACCCCACGGAGGCCACAGCATCATCCCACATGGTGAATAAATACCTCGGGTCTCAAAGCAACACCTGGCTGCTCACTCTGGCCGTGGGGACATTGCAGCCCTCGGCCGAGCCTGTGACCCGCACATCCCCCGTCCTACCAGCAACGTGATCTACAGAAGGGGGCACTGTGTGGCCCCCGAGAGCGCCGGGCACGCTCTGTGCCGTGGCCTCGGCTGTGGGTGGGGCTGCAGGGCTTACCGGCCTCGCCAACAAAGACCTCCACGGGCGCGGTGGCCGGGCTCTCCCCGATGATGTTGAAGGCCGTCAGGATCACCTCGTAGCGCCGGTACTTCTTCAGATCTGCAAGGGGCTGGAGGCAGTCAGCCTGCCAGGACCTCCTCCCTTTTGGACGGCCCCTCTCTGCACCACACTGAGGGGTCGGTGCCCCAAGGAGCCCGGGACAGGGAGCCGTGGGTCCAGCTCTCCTTCAGCGGGAGCAGAGGCCGACCCGGCTTTACATACGAACGCAGGCAAACCACAGCCCCTGATCTCGTGACTGTGTGTCCTCAGGAGAAATGTGTGTGAAGCCACGTGTACAGTGGCCAGCATGGGTGACGTGGCGGAGTAGCTGGCCTTTGAACCAGCCACCTGCAGGGCTCCCTCTCCGGTCAGTGTTGCTGCCTCAGAGCTGGCTCTCCCGAGGCCCTGTGTGCGTGTCTGGTCCCAGGGAATGATGTGAATGGGGACGTGCCAGGACTGCACACTGTGCCTCCCCAAGAATGAGATACCACGCCCTTGTCGCTCACAGAAATGTCCACAGGTCCTGCCACATGGCTGAGTGGGACCTGGCCTCACCTGCTCTCAGCCTGGCTGTGGCCCTGCAGGGGGCCCACCCGAATGGCTTCTGGGCCCACACGGCCTGGCCTGTTAGCCTCAACCCCAGGGCTCGTGTGGCTGCCGAGTCCACAGAAGGAGAAAAGACTGTCAGGTGTCCACTGAGACAAACTGGAGTGGCCGTGGACAAGCTGCATGAGCTGGGCCACCCCTCTCGTCCTTCATAACCCGCCACTGAAAAGCCTGGAGTGACAGCCAGCGAGGAACCTCATCGCTGGAGCCCCGTCTGCACTTGACTCTCTAGCTGCCGGGAGGTCACGGAGTCAGGGGAGGGTTAGGACTCGGCCGGTGAGCCAGGGAGGGGTGGGCGAGCAGACGGATAAAGCGACATGTAAAAAAACCCAGCAAGGGGAGCAGAGACCTCGCTCAATCCCACTTTCTGTCCCAAACCGAAAACCAGTTGGTCAGTTAGTCCCCTTCGGGCCCGTTTCTAGAAGGTTCCCTTCCTGCCCGCCGGCGGTTCTGCATGCTGAGCTGCAGTGCTTGGGGTGAATTCCATGAGCTCCACCCGTCCCAGCCGGTTCTCGCCGGCCCCTCCCATTTGCCCCCCCCC